TAGAAAATTTATCATAAATTATCTCAAACTTGGAATTTATATACAATTTTTTATAAATTTTCGTTATTCTTAAAAATAAAGAATTTTTTAAAAATTTATTAACTTTTTTATAAAAATCACCAATAAAATGAGAATGGAACATTTTATATAAAATGAGAATTAATAGTGCAATTTCTATGAAATGTTGAACAATTTTTATAAAATGAGAATTTATTTAAAATTTTCTAAAATTTATTTCAAATTTTCTACAAAATGAGAATTTATTAAAAAATTTCTATAAAACGAGATTTTATGGAATTTGTTTATAATATGAGAAATCATCGAAAATTTTCTATAAAATGAGAATTCATCGAAAAATTTCTATACAATGAGAAATTATCGAAAATTTTCTATAAAATGATTTTCATCGAAAGTTTTTTTATAAAATGAGAATTAATCGAATATGTTCTATAAAATGAGAATTAATCGAATATGTTCTATAAAAGTAGAATTTATCGAAAATTTTCTATAAAAGTAGAATTTATCGAAAATTTTCTATAAAAAGAGAATTTATCGAAAATTTTCTATAAAAAGAGAATTTATCGAAAATTTTCTATAAAAAGACAATTTATCGAAAATGTTCCATAAATAGAGAATTTATCGAAAATGTTCTATAAAAAGAGAATTTATCGAAAATGTTCTATAAAAAGAGAATTTATCGAAAATGTTCTATTAAAAGAGAATTTATCGAAAATATTTTATAAAATGATAATTTATCGAAAATTTTCTATAAAAAGAGAATTTATCGAAAATTTTCTATAAAAGAGAATTTATCGAAAATGTTCTACTAAAAGAGAATTTATCGAAAATGTTCTATTAAAAGAGAATTTATCGAAAATGTTGTATAAAAAGAGAATTTATCGAAAATGTTCTATTAAAAGAGAATTTATCGAAAATGTTGTATAAAAAGAGAATTTATCGAAAATTTTCTATAAAAAGAGAATTTATCGAAAATTTTCTATAAAAAGAGAATTTATCGAAAATGTTCTACTAAAAGAGAATTTATCGAAAATGTTCTACTAAAAGAGAATTTATCGAAAATGTTCTATTAAAAGAGAATTTGTCGAAAATATTCTATAAAAAGAAAATTTATCGAAAATGTTTTATAAAAAGAAAATTTATCGAAATTTTCTATAAAACGAAAATTTATCGAAATTTTCTATAAAACGAAAATTTATCGAAATTTTCTATAAAACGAAAATTTATCGAAATTTTCTATAAAAAGAAATTTTATCGAAATTTTCTGTAAAAAGAAATTTTATCGAAATTTTCTATAAAAAGAAAATTTATTGAACATTTTCTATAAAAAGAGAATTTATCGAAAATTTTCTATGAAAAGAGAATTTAGCGAAAATTTTCTATGAATTGACAATTAACAAAAATTTTCTACTAATTAAGAATTTATTGAAAATATTCTGTATATTTAGAATTTATAGAAATTTTCTAAAAAATGCAATAAAATTTTTGACAAATTTCTAAAAAATGTTTGATAAAAATTTATCAATTTTCTATATTTTATAAAATGAGAATTTATCATAATTTTCTATAAATTTAGAATTATTCGAAATCCTTTATGAATTTTCGATGAAAAGTACTTTAAACTTAATTGAAAATTTTGTATAACAAATAATTAGTTGAATAGATAAAGATTTCTTTTAAAGAGACTTTTAACTTAAAGTCATCGCTATATAACGTAAGTTTGGAAAAATGGAATGTTTTGGGCACTTTAGCAACAGTTCTATGTGATTTTCCAAAATTTTATTTAAATAACTATTAATCAATTTATTAAAATCCAACAGGCAATTGACCTATTTATTAAGAACCCTTAACAAAACATATTTCAAAAAGTAGTTTTTATATAATTAAAAGAGCCTTGTTGGCAATTTTTTCTCTTTATTTCGCCAATTTTTCAATTTATTAACACAATTCCATTTCGATATTAATATTTACACAATAAATAGCACAAAAATCCTATATATTTTTTTTAGTGAAATAATTTTTTCCAACCTCTACTTCAGATATCAACGTTTGATTTGTTCCAACTTTTTTTCTCGCTCTTTTGCTAGTGCGAGTGTTTATGTTTACACAATGTTGCCACATTTCAAGAGATTCCTTTACTTACTCATACGAAACATAGAATGAACGCTCGTGTATTTGCATAATAGCAGCAGATTTAGGTCAAATTTATGTTTTTCTTTGCGAAAATGTTGTTTAGTTGCATGTGGCGGGGGAAACGAAGGTGGCAGAGCTAGTGGTAGTAGCTGGCAGTAGTAGTACTTGTATGTAGACTTTAGCAGTATACATTAAAACCAAGTTGTTGATGGGAAACATTTTTTTTTTTCATTTACATTGTATGTATTTGTAAAAAAGGATACATAATTTACATTACATATATATGTATGTATGTGTGTACAACATATACCAGTATGTATATGTATAAGATTTATTCAACGTGTATAATAAATGAATGGCTGGGGTAAATATTTGTTGCTTTTAGCGTTTCGATTGTATGCAAACAAAACTTGCAGATCGTTAAACAGACACTTGAGGCAAAAAGCTAAAGAAAAAAGTTGGAAAAAAAAAACAAAATAAGGAAGTGTAATGTAGGAAAAAAAACAACAATCAGTCTTTTTATGCAAATGGCATATAGAATCGGAGTAAAGAAACACTATTAAACAAAATAACAACAATATGTTGGAGGTAGCAGAGAGTTAAATGGATAAAATCGTATGGGTGGGGATGTTCTGTTAAATACTACAATAGACTAGACTAGTCAATAGACCAGTCCATAGACTATGGACTTGTCCATAGACTAGTGGATAGACTACTCAATAGACTAGTTCATAGACTAATCAATAGACTAGTTCATAGACTAATCAACAGACTCGACCATTGACTAGTTAATTGACTAGTTCATAGACTAGTCCATTGACTACTCAATAGACTATTCCATAGACTAGCCAATAGACTAGTTCATAGACTAGACAATAGACTAGTTCATAGACTAGTCAATAGACTAGTTCATTAGACTAAACCATAGACAAGCCAAATATAATTTATCGAAAATTTTCTATAAAAAGATAATTTATCGAAAATTTTCTATAAAAAGAGAATTTATCGAAAATTTTCTATAAAAAGAGAATTTATCCTAAATTTTCTATAAAAAGAGAAATTTATCGAAAATTTTCTATAAAAAGAGAATTTATCGAAAAATTTCTATAAAAAGAGAATTTATCGAACATTTTCTATAAAAAGAGAATTTATCGAACATTTTCTATAAAAAGAGAATTTATCGAAAATTTTCTATAAAAAGAGAATTTATCGAAAATTTTCTATAAAAAGAGAATTTATCGAAAATTTTCTATAAAAAGAGAATTTAACGAAAATTTTCTACAAAAAGAGAATTTTCTATGAAAAGAGGATTTATCGAAAATTTTCTATAAAAGATAATCTATCGAAAATTTTCTATAAAAAGAGAATTACATTTTCTATAAAAAGAGAGTTTATCGACCAGGCCATAGACTAGTCCACAGACTAGTCAATAGACTAGTCCATAGAATGGTCTATAGACTAGTCAATAGACTAGTCGATAGGCTAGTCCATAGACTAGTCAATAGACTAGTCCATAGACTAGTCAATAGACTAGTCAATAGACTTGTCAATAGACTAGTAAATAGACTAGTCCATAGACTAGTAAATAGACTAGTCCATAGACTAGTCCATAGGCTAGTCAATAGACTAGTTCATAGACTAGTCAATAGACTACTCCATAGACTAGTCAATAGACTAGTCCATAGGCAACTCCATAGACTAGTCCATAGTCTAGTCAATAGACTAGTCAATAGATTAATCAATAGACTAGTCCATAGACTGGTCCATAGACTAGTCAATAGACTAGTCAATAGATTAATAAATAGATTAGTCCATAGACTACCCAATAGACTAGTCCATAGGCTAGTCAATAGATTAGTCAATAGATTAGTCAATAGATTAGTCAATAGACTTGTCAATAGACTAGTCAATATACTTGGCAATAGGCTAGGCAATAGACTTGTCAATAGACTAGTCCGTAGACCAGTCAATAGACTATTTCATAGACTAGGCAATAGACTAGTCAATAGATTAGTCCATAGACTAGGCAATAGACTAGTTCATAGACTAGTCCATACACTAGGCAATAGGCTAGTTCATAGAATATTCCATAGACTAGTCCATTGACTAGTCAATAGACTAGTCCATAGACTAGCCAATAGACTTGTTCATAGACTAGTTCATAGACTATTCCATTGACTAGTCACTAGACTAGTCAATAGACTCTTCCGTTGACAAGTCAATAGACAAGTCAATAGACTAGTCCATGGACTAGTCACCAGATTTGTCCATAGACTATTCAGTTCTGTGGTCCATAAACTGTTCTTTGAATATTCTCAACATTTTAAAAACAAAATTCTTTCAAAGCACATATTAAAAATATATTCGCTGCCATCTACATGGTTGTGGGAAACAAGTGTTTACAAAACTATCCTGATACATATAGTTTATGTGTGTATGTTTATTATAATTTCCTTAGCTAGCTTGAATATAAAATGAAATTAAAAAAAAAACTACATTATAATATAACCTAAAAATGAAAAAATTTTTTGTTTTGGTACTTATTAGCAAAATATTTTTGTTGTTTATCCTCTTTTCAACCTGATTTTTTTCTTTTCAAATATTGTTTCTAATCATTAACCTAAATTTACATAATAAAGTAGTTCCTTTTTTTAGTTTTTGTATAAATTCATATATAATCCCGTTTACCTTTGTGTTTAATCTAGTTATGAGTGTTATAATAACCGCCCAAATTACCCTAGTGTTATCCTTGTTTAGTGATTATGGCTCTTTAAAAAAAAAAAGATTAAACAAAATTTAAATAAAATTTTATTTCTTTACACTTTATTTTTTTGACAAACTTTTTTTAGGGTTGTTTATTCGGTAAAATCAGATCCAAATAAACGAAGTTTTTTACCAGCTAATATAACCATACATGGCACATATCACACCAATGTTATAACAGGACCAATTGAATTATGGTAAAACAAAAAAATACAAATATTTGAACAACATTTTTAATAAAATTTAGCAAAACAAAATATATAAAAAATAATATAAAATACGTATGATGATCAAAAATTAGTATGACAAAATTTGCAATTGTCATCAGGATTGTCAACTAGATATTAAAAGAAAAATTCTCAAAATTAACGAAAAATTTTAAAATGTGCTACATAATATTATGAGCATTTTGATTTTTTTAAAACTTAAATTTAAATCTTGTGTGAAGTTTGGAACACCCTTAATAAACTCGTGTTCTGTCAAAAGGAAAGTATTTTTTAACAATTTCTCTATTATGAGGGGAAATTACGAGAACGATATTTTTAAATCACATAAAGTTATTATTTGAATCGCAAGAGGGGAATAATTACCTTGACAATCAAAAATTATTTATAGTTTATTCGCAAGGGTGAATTGCATAAAACGGTAGAAGTTAAATAGTGGAAAATCGAGTTAGAAATGCTTTTGATTACATTAGATTAAGGGAGACCCAAATGAATTTGTAGAATGACATTTATTTTAAGAACATAAGTTCATGAACAAAGCTTAGAAATAAAGTAAACTTTGGTATACTGTTGAATAAGGTGTCTCGTGAACCATTTTTTTTTTTTTTTTTGTAGGAATAGTTGTCAAATTTTCGCGATTCCTATACTTAAATGACCTAAGACTCCCAGTAGCAATGGAAACAAAAGTGAATAACTTCTATAAAGAATTAGATATTTACACAATTTTTAACAATTTAAAAAGTATATTAAACACGTATTCAAACTTATAAAATTTATATGAAAAATATAGTGAAAAGTGGGCGAAATGTTTATTTGTGGGCATGGTTATCACAAACATTGTATTAAATTATGGTATCAATTTTAATACATTTAAAAATTATTTGTAAAAAATTAGTACTAACATAAGAAGTGGGCGTGGACATGATATAACCGCCCCCTTTTTTGTGAGGTTGTTCTAACTCTTATTGTGAACTTATAAACTTAATATAAAGTCCATACTTCTAAAATTAAACTTTTGTCATACTAGAATGTACTAGATGTGGCACTGTGTAGCGATTAAAATTTTGATTTCAGTACAATCTTTAAAAAAAAAATCTGCAAACTCTTTGAAATGGATATCAAAATAAAAATAATTAACATTTTTGTTAGAGTATTGTTGGTTCGAAAAACGACTTTTTAAAACTCTAAAATAATCTAAATAACTCTGAAATGGATGCAATAAAAAGCAAAACAATTTTTTTGAATAATTTCCTGTATAAGCTGAAAATTGCGACAATTTTGAAACCTATTTCGATAAAAAGTGAAAATAATATGCCTCTTAAAACCCATTTTGTGGACCAAAAATATTTGAAAATAATTTTTTTTTTTCGTAATCAGCTCAAAATTATTTAATTTTTGAGACACATTTCATAAAATTTGGAAATATTTTATTTTTCTAAAATTATAATGAGGACTCGATTTTTAATCGCTGATGTAAGTATATAACGATTTTTTGAAATTTTCCAATTTTTTGGTTTATTTACAAAATTATTTACTGTAATTCTTAAAGAAAGTCGAGTTTAACCTCTTACATTTTTTAATATTTTATTAAAAGTTGTGTTTCGACTTTTAAAATTGTCAAACTTTAATTTTTTTTATTTTTTTTTTTATAAAATTTTCAACTTAATCCCTTTTTGACTTCTTTTTCAATGTTTATGTTAAAAATGTACTAATTCCATAAAAAATATTTGTTTTTAAAATTTGTTAACATTAAGTTTTCTATTACAAAATCAACTTTTTTCTACAAAAAGTCAACTTTTTCTTATAAAAGACTTTTTTTAACTTCTAGTTCAATTTATTCTATATGATTTTCATCAGGAGCAATTAGGAACTCTGAGATTTGTCTTTCCGCAATGTTACAAAATGTTTTGTCTGACTAAGTATAAGCATGGCTCCACAGAAATTAGACTATTAGTACTCTGAGTTGGACCTTAATATACAAAACACAAAAAGGGCGGAATTTGAAGGCGTGGCAAATATTTTTTTTATATTTTTTGTGATCTCCTCCCATTCGTAAAGAATTTTCGAAGATGTGTTTTTTTTGCAGTGTGATTTATTTTAAGCTTCTTTGAATGAATTTGGTTATTTGAAGATGTGTCTATTTTTACAGTTCGATGTTTTTGAACCGCAAGATACATACGTGGGAGCTTTATAGACTTGCTTTCAATTAACACAAGCATAAAAGGTATTCGGAAAATCATATTCCCTATCTATAGGACTTAGAGCTATACATCTTTTAAAGGTATAAATGACTAACTATCAACTGAAGAGTCTTAAATTTGAATACTTTTTTTTAACTACCCTCTTTGCATTATATTCAAAAATAGATTTTATACATACAAACAAATTTACATACACATCTATACATAATCGTATGAATATTGAATTTTCTGCATTTTATTTTAAGCTTCTTTGAAAAGATTTTATATTATACATACGTTTATATACCTATATAAAATGTATGTATGACAGCCTGTGTTTAAAAATATCATACACACGTAAATATTTGAATATTTTTTACATGACACTAAAATAAAACAGGTTAAAAAGGGATAATAATAGCAAGATTTTAAGATTATAATATTTCATAAGATTTTTTTAATGAATTCTTTAATAATAAAATGTTTTATAAGTTTAAACTTATATATTTGCAATGTAAATATAATAAAGATTTTAAATTATTACTGCCGCCCAGGCCTTAAACAATTTGTTGAAAAACAAATTCTTTTTTTTCAAATCGCTTTTCACCAAATATTGATTTATTATGGCTTCAAAAGAAAAATTTCATGTATAAAAAGCATTAAAAAGTACTAAAAACAAAATTAACCTTAAAGATTTATGTTTACAAACAATTTTACAAACAATTTCAATATTCAAATGTAAATATGAACAAAAGCATAAAATGGAACATGTAAATTTTTAAACACTTTTGCACAGATAGTTAATCTGTGGATGCCCTACATTTAAAGTGATGAAGGTTTTTTTCTTTTATAATATTTGTAACGCAATGTTTTGGAATTCAATGTTAAATATGAAAAGAGTTGAATGATAAAAGAAAATAAACTATAAAAATTTCAGTACTAATCATACAAAAGTATATATAAACAAGTAAGAGTGTTATATTCGGCTATGCCGAATCTTATAGACCCAACATCAAACCTCGTTTGACTCGAATGAAACTTACTTATGCCGAATTTCATCTGTATACTCCTATTTTTGGGCCAGTTATAAGCGTTAAAGTAATTTTCTGAAGGGGACCTCCTCCTCATAAATTTGGTTCCTCATAAATTTGGTAGACAGAATTTGGTTCGTATTAAATTTATTTGTGTCGAATTTCATCGCTACACTAGTATTTTAAAGCCAGTAATGAGCGTTAAAGTCATTTTCTGAAGGGGACCTTATATGAAGGGTAGGGTCAATTATGAACCGATCCTCATAAAATTTTGCATACTGATTTCGGATCATAAGAAGCCTACTTATTTCGAATTTCATTGCCATATTCGTATTTTTAAACAAGTTATGGCTATTAAAGCTGCTTTTCGATGGGCCACTTGTATGGGGGCTATCCGAAAACGTCCCATTTTCAATACTAGACAAACCTTACCTATAACAAATATTTATGTGAAATTTCAACCCTCTAGCTCTTTCCATTCGGACTCTATCGTGCTTTCAACAGACAGACAGACGGACAGACATAGCTAGATCGTCTTAGAATTTAATGAGGACCCAGAATATATATACTTTTGTGGGTCTATGACCAATATTTCGATGTGTTACAAACGGAATGACTCAAAGAAGAAACTATGGTAATATGTATGGTAGATGACGGACGATTCCCCATAGGAACATACCTGTCAATACCGAATAACATGGAAAAATGTCAATGGTTTTCATTACATTACCAATTTTGGTTTTTGTTTATCGATCTTAAACCATCACTCATATTTGCCCCCATATCATTGGCGCATTGTCCCCAAAAATGGTAGGATTATAGTCACTGTGTAAAACATACACCTATATGTATAAAGGAGAGATAGTGAAGACTTAAATACGAATGTGTTTTCAATTAAGACCATTTCTTTAATCCACCTTCTCCCCAAAAGAAAGGAGGATGCAAGTAATGTATTTAAAACAAAATAGGTTTATATAGACTACATTGAAAATGATAATGTAGAAACGAAAAATATAAGGTTACATCTAATGCCCTGAAAGTATTTAAAAAAAATAATTTCGCCTTTTATTTCTTTACCTATAAGCTCAAAATTTCTGAATTTTTGAGATCCATTTCCAAAAGATTGCAGGAAAAATATTATTCTGAGATCAAGATTTTCAATCGCTGCCCAGTGTCACATCTAGCTAATTTTAGAAGTATAAACTTAATTTTAAGTATATATGTAAGTTCACAATAAGAGTTAAAACAACGTCACCAAAAAAAGGGGCGGTTATATTATAAACACGTCCACTTCGTATGTTAGTTCTAATTTTGGTTTTCTCGAGCACAATAAAAAGCAATAATTTAAAAACAGACAAACTGAATCAACTATTATAAGATCAGAATAAGTAGGCGTATTTGTAAAAAGGAAACGCCTTCTCTTTATATAGAAAATTTATGCATGTAAGTTAAAAATAAAAATTATTTTTGATTTTTATTTTATTTGTTTCAATAAAAAATTATTTGCGTTTTTTTTAATAATACTCTTTATTTATTCAAACAAAAAATAAAAATCAATCAATGATTTTTATGTTTCAAAACAAGGTATAAAAATCACCTAAAGAATTTTAATTTTCCAATTTTCGAATCTAATTTCTGCACAATTTCAGCAGATTTGGTCGATGATATCAGTGGTAAAGAAATTTTACCAATTTTCTTCCTATTAATCTCTGTTTAAACCCTATCATTTCTAATGTGTTTTAAATGATATAATATAATCATAATGAGTTTTATAATTAATTTCAAAAAATAAAATTATTTGCCTGATTTTTATTTGAGCCTTATGGTTTCAAAATTATTTGTGTTTTTTATTATTGATTTTTATTTGAAAGAGTTCTTAGTGATTTTTACGGAAAATATAAAAAAATACAAATCAAATAAAATTTTTAAATTAAATTTTTTTAAATAAAAATAATAACAATTACTGTCTCTGATTATTTTTAAATTATTAAAATTTATACCATAATCTAATATAACAAATATTCCGCCTACTTTTCGCTATTATTTTGTTAATTATTTTGTAGAACCGTCTAAAATACATATTTAAAACTTGAATGGAAATAGTTGATTATTTTTAACATTATAGTATATATTTGCAAATTTGTAAAAGTGGGCGCGGTCAATAAAAATATTTTAGTTAAATTTGTTAAGTTAATTGCTGATTGATTTATGAAGTTTACTAAACTTTGATCTAAAGAGAATACAAATCACGTAAATCAAAACCAGCAAATAAAGTGGGCGTGGGCAGGATATTACCGCCCACATGTCAAGTATGTGCATTAGATTTAAAATATCTTTAAAATTTAAAAGATATGTAATCAATAAAGTCAGAAAATGTCCCTTTTAAATAATTGTACTAATAAATCTAAAATTTTCGGAGTCGTAAAAGGTCGCAAAAGTTAGCTTTTGAAATTCATTCTACAGATATACTACATAAAAATATAAGAAAAATGTCACCTGAAAACATATTTTGCGTAAAAATTTTATAATACTTAATCCTAAATAGAATTCCTCACAATAAAAATATTAATATCCAGGAACAAATTCCCAACTTGTTCTAAAATAACAAGTTCTAAACACGAGAAAAATAAACAAAAAATTTTTTGGAATGATCCTAAGTTCCCAGCGATTAAAAATCCTGACCTCAGTGTAATTTTTTAAAAATAAAATATTTTCGATTTTTTCGAAATGGGTCTTAAAATTTCAGTAATTTTGAGCTGATTACGGCAAAAATAATTTTAAATATTTTGTAGAATATTTTTGGTCCCAATTTAATTCTTTTCAATCGATTTCTAATGAACAATATAAGACCTATCTTAAGAAAATAGATATTTTTTGAGTACCTCTATTCACCACACATATCTTATTACTATTTTTTTGTAATTAAAATTTTTCTGAAATCAAGTACGAATCGGACTTAAATCAAGCCCATTTTGGGATTAATTCAGTCTTTCTCATTTCTTCTTATTTTTATCTCAAATCAAGTATGCATTTGAGTATAAAGCAAACCGAAAATTCTCAAAATGAGTACATTATAAGATGACTTTAACCCAAAAAAAGGTTAAACTAGGTTTACATAGCAAATCTCTACTTCAATCAAATATTTTGTATTGGTTTTAAGAGAACCCTACTTCCGAATCTAAAACGCCAAAAATTTAATATCTTCGCCTAAAAAAAGGGGAGAAATTTAACATTTTATGGGAACCATTTTTTATAATATTTATTTATTTTTTGAAAACATTTGAAATTTGGTAGAGAGGTGTTGTAATTCGTCTAAACTAAAATCTAATGGAATACATTTAAATGTATGCAAATAAAAAGGCTAAGGCTGAGTGTGGGTTGTAAAAAAAACTGAAATAAACTATTAAAACACAACCACAGACTAGTCCAAAATATTCTAAAAAAGAAAAACATTTTTAATTATGTATAAACATTTAAAACACACTGAGAACACTTTAGGCATTAAATTAGAAAAAAACATAACCTAACAAAATATTGAATAAAAATAAACACACGGCACGGCATAGCACATTTTATTTTTTGAGATGAACAACTCAGTTGTGGAAGAAAAAAATACATTTTCATATTTTACATTTTAGTATGAAATTTCGTAAAAGTTTTTGTTTTAATGTTAAGGGTACTTAAGTAAAAAAAATGCAAAAATTTTATACGTAAAACAAGCTAAAACGAAAGCAAAACTATAGTAGAATTTTGTTGTTGTTTTTTTCTAGATTTTGTCTTAATTCTCTAGTTTTATTTAGTTTTTTTTTTAAACACACATTTTTAAAAGAAATACAAGAAAAAAATAGAAAAAAATTAAATTTTATAAATTTGTTTCAGTTAAATTTTACAACACATGCCGGACAAATGTGTGTTAGAAAATTAAATTATGAAGTGAAAAACAAATAAAAATTTAAATAAAATTTTTATGCAAAAAAAAAGAAAAAAAATGTGTGTTATAGATTTATTGCGAGTTTGAATTAAGAAATCTATAAAAAAATCTTATTGAAATAAGAATTTATTAAAATTACAACATAAATTTTTTTAGCATGATTTCGAATGATATACAACAATTATACAATTCTAAGTAATTATAAAACAAAAGCACTTGCACTTTAGTATAAAAATTAAAAAAAATAAAATAAATTTATTTAATTATTATTAATGTGTTTGGGGAATGTTTCTTTTTTTATTATTAATGGGAATATGTTTTATTTTAATTTTATTTATTGTTGTTTTTTTACTTAGTTTTGATTTTTAATTATGATTATTTTTATACTACAAATATTAATATGTGTTTTCTGTTCTATTTTTTCTCTCTCTCTCTTCCTTTTTACCCTTTTACCATCACCATTTGTGGTTTAATCATTTTTAGGACATCGTTGTTCATTGTAACCAGTTTGGTTTATGCCATCATATTGATTGTTGTGTGCATTGCTTACGTTATAAGCGATGTGACCACTCATCGTCTGCCCGTACTCTATTATGAAAGTTTCTTTACGTATCTGTATGGTGTCAGCATACTCTTCCTATTGTATGTTTTCTGTTTTCTGTTACAGGGTAAGTAAGATGTTGATTATTAAAAATAATTAAATCTGTTAAAATAATTGGATTTATTTTATGGGTCAAACCACTAAAAACATTTTGATTGTTTAACGTTTATAACCTGAGATTTTTGCAATTGATTTAATAGAGATTCTCTTTAGTTGTCTGGGTAAAGGGTAAGGGTCTGGTCAAAAGACTCTTACATAGACTAGTTCATAAACTAGTAAATGGAATTGTCATGACTATCTATCAACAGTCTTATCAATGGGCTGCACAGTGATTCCAATGAAAAGTTTAGCATCAAAAAACTCTTGATTAAAAGCACTTAGAAAGATCAAAATTTGTATAAATATGTGACTTGGTATGCGATCTCATGCTAAAAATGGGCGGGTTTGATTGGTTGGGCGTGTCACTATTAATACAAAATTAACTGACATAAGGCGAGCTACTAGTGTTTAAAGTTAAATTATTGACCTTCAAATCATATTCTGAAGGGGCCTTTGTAAATCCCGATGATTACGAAAATAAGCAGTATCATTCAGACTTACATATGTATATAAAACTAAGTTGTGCTGATTTCTGTAGATATATAAGAATGTTTAACATAATTCTAAGCTCAAAATGTTTATTCGGAGGGTACGGTTATATGGGGGGGTAGATGAAATAATGGACCGATTTCGTCCTTGGGTCAATATAAGAGTATGTCCAAGAAAAGGTTTACACTGACGCACAGACGGATGGACAAACGGTCATATTGGTGATTCTGGATTGGAATACTTTAAGGTGGGTGTTGGACCAATATTTTTGGAGGGACGTCCGCACTTCGACGTTGACGATCCGTCAACATTTTTGTAGTCTGAATTTTCCTTACTAGGAAGAACGACAGATTCATCCAATCAACTTTTAAAGAAAGACTCGAATACTCTCCTTGTTCAATGTACCAGATACAATCGGGTGATAATATCGCTGCGAAGAAGAAGACTAGAACAAAAACATCCGCATAAATAGACTTTACAAAATAGTGAAGGACGTTTAAAATGAGATTGGATTGCTTTAACATTTAACAAGTACATGCTGAGATCATTTTAATCCCAAGCTTTCGTACTTGTCAGATTCGTAACCCAAGACTGATCTATAGACTAGTCAGTACAATAGACCATAGAATAGTCCATTGACTCATTCATAGAATAGACCATGTACTAGACAGCAGACTAGTCAGTAGAATAGTCAATACACTCTCTGAAGAATAGCTCATAGAATAGTACATAGACAAGTCCACCGACTTTATAAAAACATACTATATACTAGTCGATAGACTAAGCGATATTAATGTTTTTCTCCTTTCACAGAAAGTTCCTGTTGCAATGGCGGCAACAATCAACCGAAATCTCCTAAAAAAGAAAAGAAATCTAAAAAAGACAAGGATCCAGCCGATTCGAAAGATGCGAAAGGTACCAAGGATTCTGGCAAGGGTGGTAAGCCCAGTCCCTATCAGGTTAGTTTCTCTCAATATAAATGAACACAAAAAAAACTTTACACAATTAATACAACTGATAAAAATATGTTTAAAAATTTTGTAAAAAAAAACATAAATCAATAAACGCTTTTAGTTCCTGTTCCTGTTTAATTTTGTTTTTTTGTTCAATTAAAACTTGTTTTTAAACAAACTCTCTAATCCTGTTTTTATTTATTTTTCAAATTTATATGTTGTTGTTGCTTTTATCATCCATCCTGTATGTAAAATAAAACAAATCCTCATCCTAAATCAAAATCACCATCAAACAAAAATTACACCAACCAAAACTACACACTACAAAAACAAAACTACTTCTACTACTACTACAAATCTGCTAATATCCGTTGTTGTTGTTGTTGTTGTTGATGTTCTACTCCTATAACTATCATCATAATAAAAAAATAAAACCAACCGACCAACCATCACGTTTCTGCTTTTTTTCCTCACAATATGTGTACGTGTGTCTGTCTATTCGTGCGTGTGCATAATAAATCTGTGTAAAATTTCTCATATAAAACATGATCATAAAAATAACTCGGAATATTTGTACACGGCTCTTATTGACTTTTATTAAATCATGACATTTTGAAATTCACACAAAATTGTATCAAACAAAATAAAAAAAAAATCATAAACTTTGTGTTTAACATCATGTTGCGAATATTTGTGTGTGTAAACACTTAAATTTGCATAAATAATGAACGCACCAACACACATGCACACACTTACACATATCAAAACAAAATTTTGAATAAAATTGAAATTTTGTTTTACCCTTTTGAAAACAAAAAAAAAAAATCACTCCAGGAACGGTATCCAATTAAGAAACGTGATTTGGTACGACATTCTTTAATACCAACACAGGTATGATTCTTAATTATTTTTATGTTTGTTTTTTTCTAATTTCTACTAAAATCTATGACTAACGCGCAAAAAGGCTTAAACTAATATTTAATATTGCAATTTATATAAATTACTAAATATTTAATACTAATCACTAAATATTAATTAAGGATTAAGGAAGGGGGCGTGGTCGAATTTTACCATATAGTTTAAATGCAATATGTTGGGAGTTCCATTTACCATAGGAATGATCATTTATGCCTTTTTCATAAACTTATTTTTTGGTGTTTTAAAAATAGCTATTCCGAATTTTTCGGCATCCCGAAAATTATCAAAATTTTCTGGAATGGTAATCGTAGACATTAGAGAAGAATATTGGAAAGTATTAGTGTGGAATTGCAATTCATTGAGTTATAGCAAAACCGAGGAAATACGAACCCCAATCCTTAAATTATTTTAAGACTTTTAGGAAAATACTGGTCAGTGAAGTCCAATAGCATAAATGTTATATATATTATATTCTAGAAACGAGCTCAGATAGACAAACGAATTAGAAGTTTGTCTTTTTTATGTTATTGGCATTGACCAGAGCGCTTCAATGTCAAATATATAAATCGCTTTTCCTTCCGTCCTAAAAAGTGCAGTAATCATCCCCAACGTAGTCGCGATAGATCTTGAATATTTTGATAAAATAATAATTTTAGAAAAATTCTTGAATATATATAATGTACACAAAATACGATCCAGAAAAAAACTCAAAATGAGAACTGACAGGTTTTTGAAGAAATCCTCTGTTACGATTTTGTTAGTCTTTCTGCAGACCTTATAGCACCTGTGGCAAAACAGCATACGAATTTCTTTGAATTTCAATCAATATTCCTCTTCTTCCATAAATGTTCTTAATCAAAAACTTGAAGGCTTAATCGCTTCATGTTCAACTACAATGGCGATATTTTCGTGGCAATCACTTCGATACCCGACTAACCTGCTTTTATAGTAGACATAAGCACGATCTAGTGACGACCAGTTACCAGGAAAATAACTCGTCGAAATGAAAAATTTTAGGTTTTTAAACAAGTCTCTTGTTTGTTATTCTCTCTACGGACCTTATCGGTCCTTGCGTTAAAACAGAATTTACAAGATTCAAATTTCATGCTGGAAGGATCTTCAAGGTCCTATCAGAAACTAAATAAAATCCGAGATTAGACTACTATAGACTAGACTATAGACTAGACTATAGACTAGACTATAGACTAGACTATAGACTAGACTATAGACTAGAATATAGACTAGACTATAGACTAGACTATAGACTAGACTATAGACTAGACTATAGACTAGACTATAGACTAGACTATAGACTAGACTATAGACTAGACAATAGACTAGACAATAGACTAGACAATAGACTAGACAATAGACTAGACTATAGACTAGACTATAGACTAGACTATAGACTAGACTATAGACTAGACTATAGACTAGACTATAGACTAGACTATAGACTAGACTATAGACTAGACTATAGACTAGACTATAGACTAGACTATAGACTAGACTATAGACTAGACTATAGACTAGACTATAGACTAGACTATAGACTAGACTAGACTATAGACTAGACTAGACTATAGACTAGACTATAGACTAGACTAGACTATAGACTAGACTATAGACTAGACTATAGACTAGACTATAGACTAGACTATAGACTAGACTATAGACTAGACTATAGACTAGACTATAGACTAGACTATAGACTAGACTATAGACTAGACTATAGACTAGACTATAGACTAGACTATAGACTAGACTATAGACTAGACTATAGACTAGACTATAGACTAGACTATAGACTAGACTATAGACTAGACTATAGACTAGACTATAGACTAGACTATAGACTAGACTATAGACTAGACTATACTAGACTATAGACTAGACTATAGACTAGACTATAGACTAGACTATAGACTAGACTATAGACTAGACTATAGACTAGACTATAGACTAGACTATAGACTAGACTGGTTAAAAATCGCCAAATTTCCCGACAACCCACAAAACGCATTTTTCCCGCAATTGCCATTTCAGAAACAAACAAATTGGCAACACTGGTGGAGATATTACTCGTTAACAAGATTCAATACGATGGATTCGATTTGAACAAATCGACATGCTTTCAATCAGATGTTTGACAAACTCCGAAAATTATCAGTCAAAAATTCGATAAATAATATTTGATTTTAATCTCATATCCAGAGACCAATGTATACTTTTCTGAAGGATTGAGCCACGCTGAATCCCAATCTGGCCTTAGAATTGTTTTGGCGGCTCAATCCTTTAGAAACGTCTAACTTGGTCTTAGGGTTTTGACTTCAAATTTTGTCGGGCTGTGTAAATAATATAATTTTAATTAAGAATTTTTAACTTTTCTTTAAAAAAATATAACATTTTATCCATAAAATCAATATTTTGCACGTACACTCAATTTCAATTGTAAGTAACATTTAGACATCTTACTACATTTGCCCTAGAATATATTTGTGGTTAAATAAAATCCACCAGTAAGATTTGATCAAATTTCTGTTGAGGTTTTTTTCTGTTGTATCTTTAATGGTTACAAACTTTTCTGTCACATTCTGTTGAGGTTGTCTCTGCTACTTTTTACAAAAAGCAAATAACCTTAAATTATACTAACCTCAAAATATGAAAATAACTAATATTACAATTGCAACTACAGCTGTTTCCATACATATGTAAATCGTCATCATATAGTCAGTCAATCGTACAACTATTACCGCTATTATTAATTCATTCATTGTGCTTTTTTTTTAAAATTCAATTGAATTGAATGTATTTTTCTGTCTTTTCTAGTGTTCTGTTATGGTAAACGAAAATTAACAAATTAAAAAGCTCATATTTCTTTTAAATGAAATTTAATATTCTTTCATGTGTAGTAAAATTAATTTTTCTGTTGCAATTCTTTTTAGTATTTTATTCTAGTTTTTTTTTTTGCTTATTGTTATTTAATGCCGTCTTTGTGTAAACATCCAAAGCATATGATGGTGATGATGACGACTATGATGATGATGAGAGTATTATTTGGTTTTTATTTTAGATAGATATTTGCTTTTTTTATTATTGTCCACAAGTGGCATGTTGCATTTGAAATTCTCTCAACCTCAATATGAACCAAATAAAGCCACAAATATAGATATTTAGTATTCGCATGTATTTTTTGAATAGATGTGGATATTTTACGTAAGACGTAATGCCTATTACTCTTAGTAGTTTTTCTATGAGTGCTAATGGTGGCGCTGGTGGTGATGATAATTTATGATGAAGAGGATGATGATGAGGTTTGGTGTAGCCAGCCAGCGGTGGTGGTGTTGGTGGGCTGTATTTTATAAACACTTTATACTTTTATCAACATCGTCATCATCATGATTATAAACATCTCATAATTGTTGTACTCTTGTGCTAAAAAGCCATTTATAGCACAAAATTACACACTACAGCTACTGACTGACTATATAAAATATATTGTATTAATTATTTTATGATTTAACAACAAATTTGCCATAACTGTGTCATTACATGCTTAAAATACTACAAATATGTTTTATGTCCATTTGTCTGTTTATTTGTTTGTTTGTAGATAAATTTAAATTTTTAGCAAAAACATTTTTATTGGAAAATTCATTTATTTTTATACCAGACTAGACAATTTTTTTGCTACACACTCATACTATGTATTATGTTACTACTTGTTCTCATGCTATTTTTTGGTAACAGTTCCGGAAAATATAATTTAAATAAATTATTTATGTGGAACAATTTAAAGTTTCTGTAAAGAACTTTTAAAATTTATTAAACTTTTTTAAAAAAATTAATAGATTTTTAAATGATATAAATAGAAAAATAATTGGTAACGCAAAATGAAATAATCGGGAGATTTATATAAAAAGAAAGTTTGTCGAAAATATTTTTTGACTGAATAATTTATCGAAAATCTTCTTTAAACGAAAAATGTATAATATAATTAAATAGGGAATATATCTATAAATAGAAAATTTTCTATCACGAAAATAATTCAAATTTTTGTTATTAATTGAAAGTTTAAAAAAATGTTGAATAATTAAAGAATTTTTCTATGAATCAACAAATTATCAATGAGAATTTACGAAAATTTGAAAATATCAAGAATTTAAAAATTTTACAAATATTTTTGTATATATGCCTAGAGATTTTATCGAATAGTTTATAAATTTTTATATAAATTAAATATTTTACGAATTTTTATTTATAAAAATTTATTGAAAATTTTTTTAATAAACATTTTTTTTTTAAATATTCTATTTATCAACAATTTATCAAAAAATTTCTTTTAATTAAAATTTTCGAAAATGTTTTATTTATTAGGAATTTATCGTTTTTTTTTTATAAATTAACAATTTATTAAAAATTTTCTTTTAATTGAAAATTTAAGAAAATTTCTATAAATAAAATTTACGAAAATTTTAAAATATCAAGTATTTAAAAATTTATAAATTTGTGTAAAAATTTAATATTTTACGAATTTGTAAATAAAAATTTATTGAAAATTTTTTAAAAGCCATTTTTCAAAAATGTTCTATTTTATCTATTTTTTTTTAAAAATCAACAATTTATCAAAAATTTTAATTAAAAGAAAATGTTGAATAATTAAAGAATTTTTCTATGAATCAACAAATTATCAATGAGAATTTACGAAAATTTGAAAATATCAAGAATTTAAAAATTTTACAAATATTTTTGTATAAATGCCTAGAGATTTTATCGAATAGTTTATAAATTTTTATATAAATTAAATATTTTACGAATTTATAAATAAAAATTTATTGAAAATTTTTTTAATAAACATTTTTTTTTGAAATATTCTATTTATCAACAATTTATCAAAAAATTTCTTTTAATTAAAATTTTCGAAAATGTTTTATTTATTAGGAATTTATCGTTTTTTTTTTATAAATTAACAATTTATTAAAAATTTTCTTTTAATTGAAAATTTAAGAAAATTTCTATAAATAAAATTTACGAAAATTTTAAAATATCAAGTATTTAAAAATTTATAAATTTGTGTAAAAATTTAATATTTTACGAATTTGTAAATAAAAATTTATTGAAAATTTTTTAAAAACCATTTTTCAAAAATGTTCTATTTTATCTATTTTTTTTACAAATCAACAATTTATCAAAAATTTTCTTTTAATTAAAATTTTCGAGAATGTTTTATTTATTAAGAATTTATCGAATTTTTTTTATAAATTAACAATTTATCAAAAATTTTCTTTTAATTGAAAAATTTTTAAAATTTAAGAAAATTTTACAAATATTTTTTAAAAGATTTTATCGAAAAATTTATAAATTTGTGTAAAAATTTAATATTTTACGAATTTGTAAATAAAAATTTATTGAAAATTTTTTAAAAAGCATTTTTTGAAAATTTTCTATTTTATCGAATCTTTTTATAAATCAACAATTAATCAAAAATTTTCTTTTAATTAAAATTTTCGAAAATGTTTTATTTATTAAGAATTTATCGAATTTTTTTTTTATAAATTAACAATTTATTAAAAATTTACTTTTAATTGACTATTTTTAAAATTTAAGAAAATTTCTATAAATAAAATTTAAAAAAATTTTAAAATATCAAGAATTTAAAAATTTGTGTAAAAGTTGAATATTTTACGAATTTGTAAATAAAAATTTATTGAAAATTTTTTAAAAAATATTTTTCAAAAATGTGCTATTTATTGAGAATTTATCGAATTTTTTTATAAATCAACTATTTATCAAAAATTTTCTATTAATTAAAATTTTCAAAAATGTTTTATTTATTAAGAATTTATCGAATTTTTTTTTAAAAATTAACAATTTATCAAAAATTTTCTTTTAATTGAAAAATTTTTAAAATTTAATAAAATTTTAATAAATAAAATTTACGAAAATTTTAAAATATCGAGAATTTAAAAATTTTACAAATATTTTTTAAAAGATTTTATCGAAAAATTTATAAATATTTGTTCAAATTGAATATTTTACGAATTTATAAATAAAAATTTATTGAACATTTTTTAATAAAAATTTTTTCGAAAATGTTCTATTTATTGAGAACTTATCGATTTTTTTATAAATCAACAATATATCAAAAATTTTCTTTTAATTGTAATTTTCGAAAATGTTCTATTTATTGCGAATTTATCAAATTTTTTTTTATAAATCAAAAATTTTTCTTTAATTGAGAATTTATGAAAATTTTTTAAAATTAAAGAAAATTTCTATTAATCAAGTATTCAATGAAAATTTTCTTTAAATCGAGTTTAATGAAAAATTTATATAATTATGGAATTTATCAAATTTATTATGATTTTTTTTATGAATAGAGAGAGATTCCATCAAAAAATATCTATACATCGATAATTTAACAAAATTTTTCTATCAATAAAAAATTAATCAAATTTTTTTTTTATAAACCGAGAAACTATTAAAAATTTTCTATAATTAAAAAAAATTATAGAAAATTATCTAATAATCAAAAATTTATTGAGAATTTATCCAAAATTCCTTCTTTAAAAATTTATGAAAAATATTCCATTAAACGAGAATATATTTTTTTTAATTTACAAAAAACTAGATTTGCTTGATAAAATTTTAAATTAAAAATTATCGGATTTATTTTATAAATCAAGTATTTCTTAAAAATTCGCCATAAAGCGAGAATTTATCAAAAATTTTGTGGAAATCGAGATTTTATTTAAAAATTCCTACAAAACGTGGAGTTTTCTTAAATTTTCCATTCTAAATTTGTCGAAATATTTTTGAAATAAAATTAAAAGAGAATTTTTAATAAAAAATTTCTCGATAAATAAAAAAAATATTTATGGAGAAATTTTTATAAAAAGAGAAGAGAGATATTTAGGGAATTTATTGACAATTTTCTACAAATAGGGATTTTATTGGGATTTTTCTATAAAAAATAAGTTTGTTGAAAATTGTTTATAAATTGTAAAATTGATTTCATCGTTTAAGAAGTAACTTTTAGTCGAAAAATATACTTTTATCTTATTGAATCTCATTATCGCTTTTTCGTTGACATAAATTAACAAAAATTTGAAAAAATTTATTTTGATCCAAAAATCGACCTCAACTAAATCTTTTCAAAAGATTTCACTTTATTAAAAAAAATTACTGTTAATTATTTTGGACATTCCGTTAAGAAAGTTTATTTAACACCGGGTTTTACAAATATCAAGACTTTTTTCTTAACTTTGATATCAGCTCTTTTTAATCAAACCTTTGACTCCAATATATAGAGGCAACTTAAAGCTATTTCGATTTATTACTTCCCGATAAATATTCATATAAAAAACTATGAAAAATCACAGGAGATGGTTGCACTAATCCACATTAACCCTAATAATTAGTCATACGCGTTAACACTGCTCGATCTGTGCAGATCAATCACACAATACTACACTAATAAACCAACAACATTACTAAACATTTCATTAACACATAAAACCCAACTCACAACTAAGCTCAAGCCAATGAAAAACCAATAAAATGTTAAAAATCATCAAAATATATTTTTCTTTAAAAAAATCTCCAAAACAATACAGGACTCTCAAGTAGAAGCTGAAGTAGCAGTCACACCAAAAAATGTACGCAAACGTAAAACTACTCACAGTGATTTGACACATGGCAGTTTCTTTTTGCGTGTCGGTGCCATAGGTAGGTTTAAATTGTTTTTTAAAATGTATTTTTTAATAAATTTTACTTTTTTTAAAAGCTTTTGGTTTGGGTGCCATGATTTATATTGGTTTGGAGTTTGGTTCATTCTTTGAGATACCCTTTGATTCGCCTTGTCATCACATTTTGATTGGTGTCAATCCTTTACTGCAGATGATTTTCACCTTTATGCAAATGTATTTCATCTTTATGAATGCCAGAGTAAGTTGTTGGTTTTTTTCTACTTTAAATATTTTTAGTAATTTTTACATAAGTTTCAAACGATTTTTTTTTTTAATTTTTTTGTTTTTGTTGTACTTAATTTTAAGTTTAGATTTAAGTTAATTTTTTAAGTCAAAGCCATTTGGGTGTAGAATAAAGAATTTAAACATACACAAAAATAAATCAAAGGAATGCATTCGTTGTGCAAAGTAAATATTTTAAATCTTAAATTAAATCCTACTTCAAGAAATAAAATTCGGACTATTTGATAAATTGTGGTTATCTAAATAGATAAGACAACTAGATTGTAGACAAGACAATAGACTGGACTATATACTATCCTAAAGACTAGAATATACATCTGTCTATACACTAGACTAGACTATAAATTTGACTACAGACTAGATTATAGACTAGACTATAGACAAGACTATAGCCTAGACTATAGACTAGACTAAAGACTAGACTATAGACTAGACTATAGACTAGACTATAGACTAGACTATAGACTAGACTATAGACTAGACTATAGACTAGACTATAGACTAGACTATAGACTATAGACTAGACTATAGACTAGACTATAGACTAGACTATAGACTAGACTATAGACTAGACTATAGACTAGACTATAGACTAGACTATAGACTAGACTATAGACTAGACTATAGACTAGACTATAGACTAGACTATAGACTAGACTATAGACTAGACTATAGACTAGACTATAGACTAGACTATAGACTAGACTATAGACTAGACTATAGACTAGACTATAGACTAGACTATAGACTAGACTATAGACTAGACTATAGACTAGACTATAGACTAGACTATAGACTAGACTATAGACTAGACTATAGACTAGACTATAGACTAGACTATAGACTAGACTATAGACTAGACTATAGACTAGACTATAGACTAGACTATAGACTAGACTATAGACTAGACTATAGACTAGACTATAGACTAGACTATAGACTAGACTATAGACTAGACTATAGACTAGACTATAGACTAGACTATAGACTAGACTATAGACTAGACTATAGACTAGACTATAGACTAGACTATAGACTAGACTATAGACTAGACTATAGACTAGACTATAGACTAGACTATAGACTAGACTATAGACTAGACTATAGACTAGACTATAGACTAGACTATAGACTAGACTATAGACTAGACTAGACTATAGACTAGACTATAGACTAGACTAGACTATAGACTAGACTATAGACTAGACTATAGACTAGACTATAGACTAGACTATAGACTAGACTATAGACTAGACTATAGACTAGACTATAGACTAGACTATAGACTAGACTATAGACTAGACTATAGACTAGACTATAGACTAGACTATAGACTAGACTATAGACTAGACTATAGACTAGACTATAGACTAGACTATAGACTAGACTATAGACTAGACCATAGACTAGACTATAGACTAGACTATAGACTAGACTATAGACTAGACTATAGACTAGACTATAGACTAGACTATAGACTAGACTATAGACTAGACTATAGACTAGACCTATAGACTAGACTATAGACTAGACTATAGACTAGACTATAGACTAGACTATAGACTAGACTATAGACTAGATATAGACTAGGACTATAGACTAGACTATAGACTAGACTATAGACTAGTACTATAGACTAGACTATAGACTAGACTATAGACTAGACTATAGACTAGACTATAGACTAGACTATAGACTAGACTAGACTAGACTATAGACTAGACTATAGACTAGACTATAGACTAGACTATAGACTAGACTATAGGACTAGACTATAGACTAGACTATAGACTAGGACTATAGACTAGACTATAGACTAGGCCTATAGACTAGACTATAGACTAGACTATAGAACTAGACTATAGACTAGACTATAGACTAGACTATAGACTAGACTATAGACTAGACTATAGACTAGGACTATAGACTAGACTATAAGACTAGATATAGACTAGACTTATAGACTAGACTATAGACTAGACTATAGACTAGATATAGACTAGACTATAGGACTAGACTATAGACTAGACTATGACTAGACTATAGACTAGACTATAGACTAGACTATAGACTAGACTATAGACTATAGACTAGACTATAGACTAGACTATAGACTAGACTATAGACTAGACTATAGACTAGACTATACTAGACTATAGACTAGACTATAGACTAGACTATAGACTAGACTATAGACTAGACTATAGACTAGACTATAGATTAGACTATAGACTAGACTATAGACTAGACTATAGACTAGACTATGGACTAGACTATAGACTAGACTATAGTCTAGACTATAGACTAGACTATAGACTACACTATAGTCTAGACTATAGACTAGACTATAGACTACACTATAGACTAGACTATAGACTAGACTATAGACTAGACTATAGACTAGACTATAGACTAGACTATAGACTAGACTATAGACTAGACTATAGACTAGACTATAGACTAGACTATAGACTAGACTATAGACTAGACTATAGACTAGACTATAGACTAGACTATAGACTAGACTATAGACTAGACTATAGACTAGACTATAGACTAGACTATAGACTAGACTATAGACTACTAGACTAGACTATAGACTAGACTATAGACTAGACTATAGACTAGACTATAGACTAGACTATAGACTAGACTATAGACTAGACTATAGACTAGACTATAGACTAGACTATAGACTAGACTATAGACTAGACTATAGACTAGACTATAGACTAGACTATAGACTAGACTATAGACTAGACTATAGACTAGACTATAGACTAGACTATAGACTAGACTATAGACTAGACTATAGACTAGACTATAGACTAGACTATAGACTAGACTAAAAACCATATACGATTTCGAAAACAACAATCTTACGATTACACAAAAAATAAAACCTAAACTCTACTATGAAATGAATGCATTCTTTTAAACAGATTCTATTAGAAATATATAACAAGAAAACTATATAAAAACAATTGGCACCTCACGATTACAAAGCTTAGCAAATCATCATCATTTCCACATACTTATTTTTTTAAGTTTTATTTTTTAACATAAAAACACTAAAACACTCTAATTGGCGAAGCAAAATACCAACTAAAATATCACTCATATGCCATTTTTAAAGTTATATTTTTTATTTCAAAACTTTTAATTTCATTAGAATTTTTAAGTTTTAAGCATTTTCATACGAAAAAGATCAATTAAATTATTTAATGCAATTATTTTTAAAAGAAAAGTTAAACTCATGTATATAAACCCTTTTCCCTCCTATTTGTCATTGAAAAAAAATCAAATAAAATATAAATCATCATAAACAATCAAATCAAAAGCAGACTAGGCCACCATTCCAGGTATGATTTTAAAATCATCTTCTTAATTTTTCTGTTTTGTCTAATTTCCTCCTTATTTTTTTCGTAAAAAGCTTTTTATCATGGCATTTATAATTTGGCTGAAATATTTATTTTTTTCATAGAATTTAAGCAAATTTTTTAGTTAATAAGTAATTAAAGTAAAATTAAATTTAAGAAGGACCTTGTCAGTCACTTATGATGGCCATAAGTTAAATTAACTTTATTTAGTTCAACTTGTGGTTAATCTATGGTTAACAATTGCTCCTCAATCATCTGAATGGCTTTTTAAGAAAAAATATATTTATTATTCTTCCCCTTACATGCTGGCACATTTTATATATATACCCTCTCTGAACTTTGCTGTAATTTCAGTTGAATATTCATCGTTTTAAAGTTATAGCCCGATTTGGTTTAATGCATGTTGTGGCCACTAATGTTTGCGTTTGGATACGTACACTGGTCAAGGAATCTTTGTTGGAAATCACTTTGTATCATCAGAAGCGCGAGAATGATCCTAACGATTCGGCTATAGCACAGTCAATACGTCAACATGCTTTGAGACATGCTGGCACTGTGTTGCGTACTCACAATGGACCAAATGAAGAATTTGAAGTATTGGATGGTGAAGACCTATTACCGGTCAATGCTTATAAAACTGATAATGTTTTATCAAAGTTGGTACGCAAGACCGTGGACGGTATATCGAAAACTTTGGGGTATGGCTCGAACGAAGTGGCTGACTTGGCTGCCACCACCTTGAATACCATGACTACCACAACAACTAGCACTACAACACGTGCTCCATTTACAACGCCTAGCTATCAATGGCAAAGTACTACTATGGCACGCAAGTTGAAGAAGTTTATCACGAGTACCACAGCTGCTACAATGGGTACGTCCTCCTCCTCTTCGTCAACGACTTCAACAACACCCGCCGCTGACACCAGCTCAAGCACAGCTCTGCCCACTACAACACCATTAACTACAACAACGACCACTGAATTACCTTACAACACCTATCAGAACTTATACTCTTCTGCCTCACCTTTGACCGGTGAAAGTCTGTTGTCATCATCTACTGCTGCCGATACTACGTCTTCATTCGATAGTTCCAGTTTGGCCTCTAGCGTTGCTACATTTTTCAATAATCTCATTTCAAGCACCCCATCACCAACCACTACCACCACCACTGCCGCCACAACTACCACCACCATTGCCGCCAAAACCACAGAAAATTCATTAAATCTCATTAACAATCTCATGGAAAATAGTTTCCAAACCTATTCCGGCATCTCCCATCCCGAATCATCTAGTATCATGTCATTTGAAAATTATGAAAACTTAGATAACATTTATCCCGCCGCTCTCTCCTCCAACGTTGGTACCCTCAACTCCTCAGCCTGTGGACGCATAGATATTATGGGTACCATTGTCTACGATTCGGCTCCCTATTTGTATCCCTTTATCATTGAATATTCCCTAATTGGAGCTGTTGTCCTATATGTGATGTGGAAACATATCGGTCGTTATCCTGGACGTTTAAGTGATGATGATTTGGAACATCGTCTAGAGGTTATGTTGTCACGTCGTGCTGTTGCCATGGCTCAACAGGCACGTTCGGGACGTGTAGATTGTGTTGGCTCATCCAAAGGTTTATTCTTTGGTCTATTGTTGTTGGTGGGTGCTATGATATCTTTGATACTCTTCTTCGTCTTGGTGCGTCATCAGCAGTTCTCTTTGTTGGCCATTTATTTGGCCGATGCCAGCCATTGTATACTTATGGTGTTTGCTATATTGGCCATTATAATAGGATTTATCAGGTGAGTGCTTTCTATTTAACTATAAAAAAACATCCTCAAAATTATTTCTTTCTTTAACAGAGTCAAGAATTTGAAATTCCGCTGTGAGGAACAATCCAATCTCAATGACATTCTCTTACGCATTTCGGCCTTTGGCCTCTTTACCTATTCCGTATTCTCCGTTATTTCGGGCAGCTTAAAGGTTTTGGAAAGTGAACCCAGTCTTTTGGTGACCACCACCAGTGGTGTTGCTGTTTTCCAAGTCATCTTACAATTACTATTTATCGCTGATGTCTCACGTCGTCGTGTTCATTTACCCGAACATGATCGCAGCAAGCCCGGTCGTCAAATTGTTACATTCTTATTGATTTGCAATGTGGCCATGTTTGCCATTTATACATTTGAAGCTCAAAAAGTATTCGCCAATCCCGTAAGTAGATATGTACGTGAGCAATATATAATGAAGATATGATTTTTTTCCCAAGTAATTATTGTTAATTTTTATGTGTATGTGAATGTTTGTTAAAGTTAAGGTCACGACTCATTGACAATGGATTCGGATTTAATTGGAGAATAATTGTAAAATCACCTGTCAGAATTCTTTCACATATATTTCTAAGCAATAGTATTCTGCTGTTTCTGTTCATGCAAGATTTTTGACAGATTGAAATACTAAATTTCATATTGAGTCATGATCTCTAGTAGTTCATAGTCTTTTTATACTTAATCAAATTTTAAGTTTATTAATTTCAATGTAAATAATTTTATACGATTTACAACTTTTCAACTACTTTCCCTCATCTTTGCACAATTTCTGATATTGTCATTGATTTATTTTTGTTTAAATTTTTACATTTCTAAAGACCAGTTGAAATATTTTAGAAAATATCAATAAAACAATATTTTTTGGAATCGTTTGCAAACGTTTATGAATGCCGGAGTTAGAGTTTGGATTTTACAGTATGATATCAACAGATTTTGAAAAACTTTTAGGAAGCTAGAGACGAAAAAACCACTGTTTATCTATACATATAATATTAATATCCCATTTCTTAACATACAAATCGATTGTACTTTTTATCGATATAAATTTCTATCGACAGAGATCAATAATCCGCTCTTATAAATGATACATATCAAATCTATTGTTCTTAAAACTTTAGGTTTTAGTAAAAACTGAAATTTAGTAAAAACTTACCACTTCATGAACTATTGATGACCTGAAAAAGGAAAGAAAATATATTAGAAGTTATAAAATCGGGAAAATAAATAATAAACATTTTTATATAATAATTATCTATTAGAAATATTTTGTGTTAAGCCGAAATCGTTTAATTAAAAATAAAAAAAAACATTGAAAATTTTACTTAAAAAAACTCGTCGAATAAAAGAAAATTTTCAACTCGTTATTTACTCGCGAATTTTTTTATAAAATAATCGTTGCAAATGTTTACATTGTCGAACTTGTCGAACACTTTTTAAGCAAAAATCATGATATTTTCAATAAATTTTTTTAAACCATTCCACTTAGCTCGTAAACAGCTTGTCGAAAAGTTTTTTCTATAAAAATCCCTTTTATGACAACAACATTTCAATAAATAATAAAATTTTTTTTATAGATTTCCAATTTATAAAAGAGTTTCGAATATATCCTTTGGTTTCGAATAACAATCTCGTCGAAAACAATTCTAAAAAAGTGGTCGAAGAGTTTCATATTGAATCCTGTTTAAAATTTTCAATAAAGAACTGGTCGAAAAAATCTTTTTTTTTATAAAATAATCGTTGCAAATGTTTACATTGTCGAACTTGTCGAACACTTCTTAAGCAAAAATCTTGATATTTTCAATCAATTATTTTAAACCATTCCACTTAAATCGTAAACAGCTTGTCGAAAAGTTTTTTCTATAAAAATACCTTTTATGACAACATTTCAATAAATAAAAAAAAATTCTTTTATAAATTTCTAATTTATAAAAGAGTTTCGAATATATCCTCTAGTTTCAAATAACAATCTCATCGAAAACAATTCTAAAAAAGTGGTAGAAGAGTTTCTTATTGAATCCTGTTTAAAATTTTCAATAAGGAACTGGTAGAAAAAATTTCTATTGAAACTACATATTTCAAAAGTTTAAGTACTCCAAAAAAATATTTATAAAGTACTCGGATCCAGGAGGTCCTATTTCCTTGCTGTAAGAAAATATTAAAAAGCTACAGGAAGAACATATTATCATTAAGTCAAAAGGTGATTTTATTTCCAAATTTCTCCAAAAAGATGACATTAAAATATTTAATATATGTATAAAGGAGAAGATTTTAAAGAATCCTTAGAGATATGATATCGCATAACTTATTGTTCTGAAACCAAATAGTCTATAGTATTATAAGGATTTCAAAGATCTTCGCATTGGGCCTAGAACAAAGGTTCCGCCTGCAAGTAATGCTCAGTCTGGCAGTAGTAGACATTAAACATTGTACATGCCATCCAATTAGTGATTTCTCCAACTTTTCAAAAGCCAGCGTAGGATACGGTTTCAAAGCCTAGAAGGGTGTCTATGGTCATATGGAGTTTATGGAGTGAGGCCTTATTAGAAACTTTAGTATCACCCAATCACCAATTAATCCTTATAATTCTTTGTCATAAAAGGCAACCAAAGTAAAATTTCCATAGCTCATATGGAAGAGCTCATAACGTCTTCCCTTACAAGGGAAGGGACGTCTCAACAGATTTGTTGTTTAAATACTTGTATATAAAAAGTTTATTTACTCCAAAATCTAAAAGCTGCAAAAAGTCTCGTCGAACAGTTTTCCTTAAATCAGGTCTAAAAATTTTCTACAGAAATATTTTAAAAAGTGTCTATGAAAAACTAAATAGACTTTCTTTCTTTTGAATACGGAGTTAAGCATTTACACAAATAGGAAGATTTTTAATTGTAACCTTTCACCTTCTATATCATAGATAATTTTAATGAAGACTAGATAATAGCTTTATTACTAAATTTTCAAGATATTTATATTAAAAAAATGCTTATATGGCAAAATTTCCTAAAATTTCGCAATTTAGCCTAATTGAAATATAAGAGGTCAAAGGTCACAGGTTTCTGAATAAGGTACTTTTTACTTAAATTTACTTTCAGGCAGAAATGTTTCTAAAATCTTGTACAATCAAAAGAAAAACAAAAAAGCAAATCATTAAATTCAAAATAAAACATAAATCATTGTAAAATATAATCATAAACATTAAAATTATTTCTCTTTATATCATATCTTCATACATAAATTATTGCTTATAAATCATATGAATGTTTGCTATATTTTAAACCCTTTCTAATTACTTCTTAAACCCTATAATTTAAATATTAAAACAAAATCTACTTCCACCCTTGTAGGTTCAATTGGATTTCTATGGTTTCGTACCATGGGCCATCATACAACGTGTTACACTGCCACTCTGCATTTTCCATCGTTTCCACAGTGCCGTCACACTAGCTGAAATCTGGAAGACCACCTATAAAGCACGTTTGGAGTAAATTCAATGCTAAACAATACAGTCGGAACGGAAACTCAACCAACCATATTCAATTAAAATTAAGAAATTGGTGAAAATTGAAGCAACAAAGAAGAAAAAATATAACTTGATTGTTTTTTTTTATAATTTTTTTCAAAGAACAAAATCTTAATTATAAAGTAAAAGAAGAAAAGAAATATAAAATTAAAATGTTAGTGAATCATAAAGGAAAACTAAACTCAATACATATTGAAAATGATGATAAATATGAAACAAAAATACATTAAAATCCGCTAAATAATTTAGTTTATAAAATGAAAGAAAAAAAATAAAGGAAATAGTAATATAAAAATGCCATATAATGCACCAAAATAGTAGACAGTACATTTTTAAGATTGAAAATAAAAAAAATAAGAATCAAGAATCTCAAAAACCAAATTATTGAAAAAAAAAAAACAAAACAAAAAACATCATCCTTAAGGACCATTCTATGGAGTTTAAAAATAAATTAAATACCAAATAAATATTTAAACAAAAAATTAAAAATAAAATCGAACAAAAAAAAAAACACAATTCATAATAATTCCGTAAATATTTAAATATAAAACTAAACAAAAAAATCAACAAACAAAACAAAAATCAATTATAAAACATTGTGTATTTATTAAAAATAATATTTTTTAAAATTAAGTTAATAATTAATTATAATTAAAATAAAAATAAATTATAAAATTTATATAACAAACAACAACATCAACCAACAACAACCTTTTGTAGTGTTAATAAATTAAAAAAAAATATTTATATTTATTTAAAAAATATTATTATTATTTTTTTCTTATTTTTTGTAAATTTTATATTTATAATAAAGTTGTATTAGAAAGATGAATGAATGATTACGTTTATAATTCAAAGAAATATGAGACAAAAAAAAAACGACAAAAAAAACTAAAAAAAAGAAAATTATATATGGTGTATTTCATTTGTCTTTAACTTGAGTGTAATATTAAATTTAAAATTTGTTAAGCTAAGTCATTATTTGTAGTTTATAAATTTAACAAAAAACATTTTATCCATTAAACGAAACAAAAACATAAACAACAATAAACAAAATAAAAATTTCAAATAAAATACCAAAAAAAAGTACTTAAAAAAACATTCATACCAAACAATTTTTTTTATTTTCTCATTCATAAATTTTAGTTTAAAAAAAGGTTCTTCTTCTGTTTTCGATTTTTTTGCGCAACAAATTGAAATCAAACTAAGACAGGGTTTAAAAGCAATAGAATGTGAGTTTTAGTAGTTGACAGCTGGAAGGATGGTTAGAGTTTTGTATTAATTATGATAAATATTAGGGGTATTCACTTATTTGGTAGCAGAAGGTTATGCCATGTTTATAATTTTAATCAGCAGGTTTTGAATCCTCTGATAGCGTTGATCAAAATGCTTTTTAAATTACATTTAAATTTCATTAGATGCTTTCCACATTAGCAAATTCTTAAACTAGAAAATTTTTAAAAATTCTCAATTTTTATAAAACTTAAAAAATTTAAAAAAAACTTTATATTTAGAAAGCTTTGAAAAAATTAATTTTTTTAAATTTTTTTGAAATTTGTTTTAGTAAATTAGAAAAAATTAGGCAATTCACTATTAATTCTATTAGAGAAGAAGAAGACAACATATTACATCTCCTTCTTTAATAGAATTAATCTTGAATCGCCCTAATTTTTTTTTTTTTTTTTAATTTACAAAAACAAATTTCAAAAAACTTAAAAAAAAGTATTATTTTCTCAAAAATTTCTAAAATGTAAAGTTTTTTTTTGTAATTTTTTAAAAGTTTTCTAAAAATTTTCAATTTTAAGAATTTTTAGAAACTTTTCTAAAACAAAAAAATCATATAAAGTTTTTTAAAATTATTCTCAAAGTTTTACTTAAGAAATTTAATACAAATATAATCAATAAATGTATTTCAATTTATAAAAATACATAATTTTTTAAAATATTGAAATAATTGCAAATTTTCGAAAATTTTCAGAAACAAAAAATTTTGCAAAAATATAGACTTCTTCTTTCACTCAAAAAATTCATTTTGAAAAATTTTGATAAATTAAAAAAAAATTTCAGCGGATATCGTGTCCTCACTGAGACACACGTGGGTTCATCATATTGATCCCGTTGTGATCAAATTTAAAAAAAATAAATTTTTTATAAAAATAATCGTTTGCTGTAGCTGTGAACTCAAAACTACGCTCTACAATTGGCACCGGTGACTTATACATGTGATAGAGCTAAGAGATTTTATATAAAGTTTTCAAAAATAAAAAAATTATCGGAATTAAATTAATTAATTAGATTCATCAAAAAATTTTATAAAAATATAAAATTTTTAAAATTTTCCTTTCAAAAAATTTCTGAACAAATAAAATTTTTCAAAGTTTTAAAAAATTAAAAGACTTTTCAATAAATTTCTAAACATTTTTTTTTAAATATAGAACATTTCTCAAATATTCCAAATATGCAAAAATTTCTAAAAATTCTGAATTTTTACGAAACTTTTCTAGAAATATAGAAATCGTTGAAAAAATATTTTAAGGGTAAATGTATGCTCGAAATCTATCTTTTTTCATAAGTTTAAATTCTAATTACCCTAAAAACATTTAAAAATATATGTCCAGTTCAAAATCGTTGTTGTATCGTAGTATGTAGTAATTTTTTTTAATTAATTTTTTAATTTTTGTTGCAAAGATTTTTATTTGAAAAATTTTTATGACATACAACGATACGTTATTGATTGTAAATTGGAGAATAGAACTTTTGGAATATTTTAAGAAAATTTAAATATTTAAAAAATTTTCTAAAAATGTAGATTTTTTCCAAACTTTTCAAAAATATACATCTTCGGATTTTTTTTTATCTAAAATTTCTAAAAAAAACATTTTTAAAAAGTAGAATTTTTTTCGAAAATTTATTAATTTAAGACTTTTTAATAGCGAATTTAATGAAAATAAAATCGATAAACTCCCATTCTATTTGATGTAACAGGACAAAAATCTAAATATATTTTTCTACTGGGGGTCATTTAGAGAGTTCATGGGAATTTTAAAATTTACCGATAGATGACGTCTAGTTATACATTTTAGTTTATAACACCTAGGCCGCTCATTTCATAAATGAAAGATTTAGAAGGTATTTAGATTCTCACATGGACTACAAAGATTGAGTTAGTAGCACAAAGCACTGTTTTTCTTGGTAAGGAAATAACAAACTTTCTGTTGTCTCTTGGTGAAAGGTAAGGTCTTATCTATAAATATACAACTTATTGCTTTAAGTGAATACCCCTAATATATACAACGCAAAATTTCCTTTTTACCTAATTTTACTTAAATATTTTTTAAAGATAATACAAAAAAAAAAGTCGATTAAAAAACCTAATATTTAAAAACTCTCTTTAAAAAAACTCGTTGTTTATTTTAAGGGGCTTTTTGTGTAAATGTTTTCTACTACTAAAAATCTATTTAATGTTGATTATAAATTTTAAGTAACTGATATAAATGATAATTATATAAAAAGATATACATTTTTTTATAATATTAAACTAAAATAAATATTTGCAAATTAGTGGTTAAATATATAAAAAAATTACAACAAATAAAAAACTATATCTGTTCTTAATTTTTATATATAAAAATTAATGTGAAATAAAAACAAATTACATTGACATGACTCTATCAAATTATACTCATAATTACAGTTGATCAATTGATTGTGGAAATACAGAGTTGTAATTTTCATATTTATATTTAAAAAAGATATTAGACAGGTAAAAAATATAATGGAATAATGAACCTTGAGGAAGTGAAAGATTCCTTAAAAAATTTGGTAAGAAAAATTATGTCAAACGTTTCTATGAAATCGTGAGATCCTTTGATTAGAATTCGAAAGCATAATAGAAGATGAGAATATAATGGAGTATAAGTCTTAGACTTTACCTTCTCAAGTTCTTGTTTTTTATTTTGCAAAATATTATAAAATTACAACTCTGTTTTTCTTTAAATTTTATCACTACAGAATGCTCCAAAAAACTACAAACAACTTAAACCCATAAAATCAACATCTCCATTAAATCCTGGAAAAATCTTAAATAATCACATCACATTTTTGACATTTCAAAAGAAAAAAAAAACAAAAACTAAATATTAAAAAATATATAACAACAACCAAACAATATAACTGTGATGATACATAGTGTTTTTTTAAGAGTGTGCTAATACAAAATAAAACACTCCAAGTTATAAAAATATTAAAAAAATTATTAAAAAACTTTGTAGAAACAACTAAAAAAAAAGAAAAACTTTTAAACGTTTTTTAAATGTCCATTTCTAAGTAGTGAAACACACAAGAAATTATAAACAAATGAACAATTTTTCTCTTAAAAAATTAAAAAAAAAATAATAATAATTTTTTTTTGAATTAAACAAAAATAAAACGCATTTAAATGATTAAAAAAACAACAAACATAGAATGTTTAAAATTACAACCCACCAAATAAAAACAAACAAAAAAATCTTATATGAAAATATTAAAGGAAAAAATTTAACAACAAAAGTATACAAAATATACAAAGAAAAAAATTTAACAAAAGACACGATTTTGAAAATGAATAAAATAATAAAAGAATGCCAAAATGAAAAGACCAAATGTTAAAAATGCAGATTTACAGTCATGAAAAATATTTAAAATAAATATTAAAATTATAAAAAATAAACAAAGACAAAAATAAACAAAATATTAAAAACTTTTATACACTGCCGTTTACATGAGACATACAGCATTAACAAATGAATTAAATTAAATTTTTAAACAAAAAATAGAAAAACTTCATCTCATACAATTTTTTGTATTAAATTCATTCATTATAAAAAAATCAGGTTCATTTCATCATTCATTCTAATTGATTCTATTTCAATGACATTTCGGAATTAATAAATCGATTTTATTGAAATTCAAAAAGCTCTTTTTTCTAAGCCTTCATTACTGAGTAGAGCTCATTTTGTGGTTGCCGTAGAGAAGCCAATGTTCAGAAACTTATGATACTCTTAGAATTTGTCTGTCAGTGTTATATATATAAGGGTTATATTATGAGTAATACTATCGCTGCCCAGATTAATTCAAATTTTGACTAAAACTTAGAAATGTCAATGAAAGTGATCCAGCGTTTATTGATTTTTTTCGCATTCTCTATATTCGTCTGAATACTCGGATTTACTTAATCTGAGATTGGATTTTCTTACAAACCAATACGGTCTTAGATTTAACCTTACCAGCTAATATCGTTCTAATGGACTTTATACAATTCATGAAATGCCGAATTCTGCCTGGAATCTAATATAGACTCCGCAGAAAATAGAGAAACTTTAACTCCAACTTATTTAATGGATATATATAGTTACTGCTAATTATAAGGATATATATAGTTACTGCTAAATAAAAGTTTATCAACTAAA